TTGCATGGGCAGGATAATGCGTACATTTCTTACCAAGCATTGCAGCCTCCTCCTTTGTTTACCCTTCCCATCCCTTCCCAGCCTCCCCCCTCCCCTAGAGTACTAGTCTTGAGTAAGGGACAGTGCCCAGGCCCAGAGTTTAAGCCCCATGACCGACCAAAAAAAAAAAGAATGAGGGCTGGGCCATGGCTCAAGTGGTAGAGTGCCTTCCTAGGAAGTATAAGTCGCTGAGTCCAAATCCCAATACCCCTTCACCCCCCAAAGAAAAAGAAAAGTAAATGTAACCTTGATAATATAATTTAATTCTGTATCATTTTATAAACTAGTTCTTAACATGTATCTGAATAGCTTTCCTATAAGGGAATTCTGCATTCCAATTTGCATTTTCTCACTTTGATTATGAGGCAAAATCTGGATGATAAAACTTAAAATAGTTAAGAGGATCAATAATGAGATATTTCCATATAATAAATGTCAGTGTAGGAACAAAATTTAAAAGTAAAATACATATTCTTGCTGCTGTGTTTTAGCAATCTAGAGATCTTGGGCCAGAGTGATAACAGTACAAATGATAAGTATTCTAATCAGAGCTCAATTTTTGAAAGGATTTTCTTCTGGGGGAGATAAACATCAAAGACAACTACAAAGTTTGTGGTTGGTGGTATAAGCAACTTCATCATGGACATTATTTAAAGAAATTTCCATTTCCAAGAGGGTATACATGTATAGAAAAGAGGACCTTGAGGGGGCTGGGAAGTTGGCTCAGTGGTGAAGTGCTTGCCTCACATGCATGAGGCCCTGGGTTCAATTCTTCAGCACCACATAAGCAGAAAAAAGTGGCACTGTGGCTCAAGTGGTAGGGCACTAGCCTTGAGCTGAAGAGCTGAGGGATAGCGCCCAGGCGCTGGGTTCAGGCCCCACGACCGACCAAAAAAAAAAAAAAAGAAAAGAAAAGAGGACCTGGGATATTTCAGCATTAAATGAGTAGAGAGTAAAGGAGAATAACCTAAGGAGATTTAGAAATATCCATCAGTGAGGCTGAAGGAAAGAAGAGAAGTTTGGTATCCTAAAAACATTTGGAAAAAAGGTCTCAAGGAATTTTTCAACTGTTAATGTAATGTGCTACCATTTCCCCTGTTTTCACACCATCCTTTTTGTTAAGAAACTTGAAATTGGAAATTGTACTGAAGAAAGTTACATTGGAGTAAAATCATAAAATTATCCACACTAAAAATTTTTAAATGCAGGCTGCATAAGCCCTGAATATTCTAGACATAGCAAAAGATAATTCTTCAATGACATTAACATTAGTGTGCCTTGTAAGAATTCTGAACTCCATATCCCAAGGATGTGAGCCTCTAGGCTTTGATCCTCTGCCTTGTGCTGACTGAATAATACCCTGAGGGTACAGCAGAATACAAAAAGCATGGGAAGCTTGAAATTTTAGTAAGAAGGTTTCATAAACTTGAGTAGAGTTAAATAATAAAATGATTAAGTGCAGACGGTAGAACAGCTTAGACTTGAACTAATCCTTTTTACATGGTTTGGAGGAGCCCCTTCCTTTCTAAGGGTGGGTGGTGGGCTTTTCCTTTGGTGGCCTAGGATGGGATGAGAGGACCTTCTATTACATGTCTGAGACCTAGAGACTGTTTGGCCTTCATACTTTCCCTGGCCTGGCTGTTATTTTATTTTATATGCCTACCTTTGGTTTTTGTCTTCTATAAATGTATTCTATACAGAGTTCATTTGCTTGTTTATTTCTGCTTTTAAGCATTTAAATTCTTTTATTATGGCAATGTTTTACCATATGAAAATTCTAAAGTTTTATCTTACTGCATTAGATGTTTCCTTTCCTTAAACTTAACCAACTTAGAGAGTGAAGTTATTTTTTACATCTGATGACTACTTTGAGGGGATTAGGGCCTGAATTCTCTGAACTCTCCTTAACTTGAAACCTCAAGCTATGTTGTAACAGAATTGATGCAGAGTGACCTGCATAAAATTATCGTCTCTCCTCAGCCACTCAGCTCAGATCATGTCAAAGTTTTTCTTTATCAGATTTTGCGAGGTAAGACGTTATGATGATAAAGGTAATGTCATGGTTATACATGAAATGTTTTGCTTTTCATTTGAACTTTAATATGGCCTTCCAAGTCTTGCTTTTCCTAAATACCTTTTAAAATTAAAAAAAAAGTTTCATTATTTTTTCAAATAAGGTGGTGCTGAGAATAAAATTAGAGGCATGATATGTATTATAGGCAAGCACATCTACTACTGAGCTACATCCCCTGCTATTAAGAGGGTTTAAAGTGATCAAACAGTTTAATTTTCATAAAGCTCCTATGAAATTCATTAGAGGTGACTGGGTTAATCTAGGAAGATACATAAGCAGTTATTTTGTCATAAGTCTGCTGAACCGCCTTGAGTTTTTGTCAGAGTGTGTAGCATGAGGTGACTTAATTAAACACTGGCTCTACCCCTGTGGATAATATCCATCCTGCAAACCAGCAGTAGGTGGGCTTGTCAGAATTCTAACTTGAAACAAAATTTACAAAAAGCAAAAATCCTTAAAAAAGCAAAGTAGGGGGCTGGGAAGGTGGCTCAGTGGTAGAGTGCTTGACTTGCATGTATGAGGCCCTGTGTTCGGTTCCTTAGCACCACATAAGCAGGAAAGGCTGGAAGTGGTGCTATGGCTCCAAGTGGTAGAGCGCTAGCCTTGAGCTGAATTGCTGAGGGACAGCACCCAGGCCCAGAGTTCAAGCCCCTTGACCACCACCAACAACAACAAAAAAAGACTTAAGTGAAATTTCTGCTGACTCCAGAAGCAGACACCTGCCTAGAATATGATATAAGGGCTGAGTTCAAACCCCAGTACTGCAGCAGAAAACCACACAGACACACACAGACAGACACACACAGACAAACACACAACTGAAAAACAGTTTGGGTCAGTATAATTAGTGCTTCATGTGTCCTTTACAATTATTTCAAACTGGAACAACTTCTTGGTGAAATGATCTTTCCACAGAATTATAGAATTGTTTAAAGAAAATGAAAGTGAAAACAAACAATATTAAAAGCTCACTTCCAGTAGATTTGCTGATACTCTGTGGAAGGGCAAAATGGAGATTAATTGACTTTTTACACTTTGAAAAGACATGACTTGCTCCATTTTATTCAAAGAAGACTCAGCCTTGAAGCTGTGACTTTTAGAGGTGCTGAAATGCCAGTCTTTTTAAGATGTCAAAAATATTTAAAAAGTAATTAACTACCAGGCTGGGAAGGTGGCTCAGTGGTAGAGCGCTTGCCTTGCATGCATGAGGCCCTGGGTTCAATTCCTCAGCACCACATAAGCAGGAAAAAAAAAAAAGCTGGAAGTGGTGCTGTGGCTCAAGTGGTAGAATGCTAGCCTTGAGCTGAAGAGCTGAGGGACAGTGCCCAGGCCCAGAGTTCAGGCCC